AGTGCCACTTCAGCCTCTCAATATTTGTGTCGCAGTTTTTCCAAGCAGTAAACAAGTCGAGTAGATACATAAATGCTACTTGAAAATGTGGCTTTTTCCTAACGGTACCATATTTGCCGTATTTGCTGTGATGACGCAATTGCGAATGTTTTCCTAGCTCTAGTGAATTATCACCGTGAGTTATTCAGGGCTGTGTGTCTACCGGCATAACTGTTAACTGTGGAGCCGCGAGAGAATTATGTGCAGGCCGATCGTAGCAGTGAAAGTTCTCTTGCGGTGAAAGGGTTCTGATACAATAATATTTTTTAGCATTACAATTGGATGAATATTAGCACGCTCGGCAATTATCGCGATTGTATGGAAAGGAGCATCTTTTCCTTTACGACTCGAGGGCGATTAGCTCGATTAGAAATTATTTATGGACACTGACCTTTGATTTTCCTGCCTGAGAAATCTCTTCTGACCAATTATCATTCGGATCTGTTTGTTTCTCCAACAGCTTTGAATCTTTTCGATGCATAAATTATGACTGCAAAAGACCTCGGCTGAATATCGTGTGTCGGTCATAAATTTTAGATTTGGCGCGGCAGATTTTAATTAACCTCTTTTGGCGTTGCAAAAGTAGCAGACGGTATTATATTTTTCCTTGTACTTGAGATGAAAGAAAAGAAAGCTGTCTGACAGATTTGCATGTGTCTGGTGATGAATAGAGGATCAATATTTAATAAGTGGCGCCAGAAGCTTTTCAGACTAGGCGACGGTTTTATGCTTTCGCGCGACGAGAGTTATGAAATCCTGCACAGACAGATAAGAAAAGAGGGATAAGGTAAAAAGCAGGGTCGAGCATACATTGCTCCATTTGCTCCACATATTTTCGTCGGTGGTGCAACTCAATGAGTTTCCAGAGCCACTGATAACTTGACGTTTTTCTTTTACGAAAATCCTAAAACGAGTCAAAAGGTTTTTTTGTATTTCAAAATTTAAAATAAAAGGAATAATTTCACTCTTAAAAAAAATTATACCTTTTCAATGTTTAAAGAATTTCAATACTAAACAATGGAGGAAAATTAATTTCTGCTTTAATTTGATTTTATAATTTTGAAAATTTTCATTGGCATGACCATAATTTAATCTGCAATTTAAAAATAAAATAAATTATTTATTTTTACATTAAAAAACTTTATTTCAAATTGAGTATTAATCAAGATTCAAGTCCACGTTTTGACATTTCAAACCTTTTAATTCCCTTTCAATAATTAATGAAGATTTTTAAATAAAATTATCGTATCTCCTCCCTCACTATTTCTGATCTTTTCAGACTATAATACATTCCGTTCACTTTCTTTCCGGGAACTTCTGCGCCATGGGCAAAAAAGCAACAGAGTCGTTAATCACGGTAACTGAATGCGCACTCATTTCGATCCAGCTTCGATCGATTTTTTTTATTCTATTTGAACTAAAATGTCTCCTTAAACAACCTTTTGCTTTTTGCATTCCGCTCACGTCTCTCCCTCTCCACTGAACCGAAGTCAATCAGTTCCTAGCAGATTTTTTCGGTGCCGCCAGAAGCGCTTCACGTAATTACTGCAATTTTCTAAGTGTTATGCAAACACCGAAACCACGAAGCATCTCTTTAGATAATACACCTCCCTGCAGGCTTCATGCATTTACATAATTCATCAGACGGTCCTGTCTGCTCTCAATTTGATGTCGTGCAGCGTGTCTGAATAATGTAACTCAATGATTTGATTTGGGCGTTGTGCAACTTTAAATGAATCTCGTGATGATGAATTGTTGGCTCTTTTTGTCAAATCACGAAAAGAGATGCTGGATTTGTTAAAAGCGATTAAGGACTAGAGAACCAAGGTTGGACCAAGAGAAAGGGAAAGTGTGAGGAACTAATGAAATAGAGCACTATAAAGCTGCAATTTCCGTGGCTATGACCAGACTGGTGAAAAATCACGTTACAATCAAGGTATACAAATATTCCAAATAAAAATTCCACCTTTCTGTTGTTTTCGGGAAAACAAAGTATCACAAAATTTTCCAAAGCAAATATGTAAATACAATTCAGTCTTAAAATTTTGATTTTAATGACAACTATTGTTAAAAGTTAATTTTTTATAAAACATTATAATTATTAATTTAAAGAAAAGATTGCCAATCTAGCGGCCAAAAATTAAATATTCTTTCGGTTGTATTAAAAAAAAAAAAAAAATCCAAAAATTCAGATGCAAAATTCAAACAATATAATTTTATAAAAAATGTAGCTTTCTCCTTCATTCGTTCATTAATAATTGCTCTCTTTAGAAATTCAAAGAGCGGCTGCCTGCTCTCTTGTTGTGGATTGCTTCAAGCAGACCTTGGAGGACAGTACTGTAAAAAATCCAACCGGTTGGACGTTGGGTGAGAGGTGCAAAACCTCATTATGCCGAGACCTCCGAGAGATAAAGTGGCCTCGGCTCTGTGTATGAAAAATAAAACGCACGCCCACAAAGAGGCCGTGCAAGCAGACACATTGGTCGTAATCGTAAATAGGTCTGAAAAACCACCCAGTTCTCTGCATTCGGTCCACACTTGAGATCATATAAAAATATAAAAAAGGGCTGGTTGGCGAGACGCTTGTGTAAAAAAAGAGCGTCTGTACATATACGCAAATGCAAGCACACAAACTTGTTTGTTCGCCGGAGAGAAATTACGATTGTCCTGCTTTGTCACTTCTGGTTTATGGGGCTCCATTTACGTTTTCATTGTTGGGCGAACCAGACACGAAACTGCGTCACAAACCCAGAGATATAATAGTTTAAAGATAAAATATTTGAAAATGAGGTTTTAATTACCAAACAACTCTAACAAGACTTGGGAAAATCTGATAAACTTACAGATGCCTTTTAAGGAAGGGTCAGATGAAAGGATTATTCTATTTGAAACGAAAGAAAGAAATGTAGATTTAATCTGCGAGAGTATGAAAAAAGAGTTGTGAAAAATCTCAGGTCCAGTCTTTGCTGCGCTTAATTATTACTAGCCTCTGCTTAAATCTGTCATGTTTTTGATTAATGGTATACTTAAAATGAAAATTATATCTTTTAAAACCAAAAAACATCCCATTTTTTTTTTTATAAAAATTTAGACGAAAAATAAAAATATATATAAAAAACCTTATAATATAATAATTTTTCATTCATAGAATTTTAAAATCTATCCCAGTCAGTGATGTTTACATTAATAATATTCGATCGTTAAACCTGAGTCTTTGAGCTCGCCTAGGAGGACCTGATTTAGACAAAGATTTTTCCGAACCACTATTTAAAAAAAATTTGTTGTAAGTTAGTATTAAAATAAAACTAATTTACTTTTTTAACGTTTGATGGAAGCAATAACCCTATTTGAATCAAATTTACAGTAAAGAAATCAACCATTTTTCAGAGAATAAATGAGAAGAATTAAATTTTAAGCTGCATAAATACTCTTAATGGAGCAGATTTCCTTTCCAACCTTTCTTGGATATTTAGTGCATCCTAAAATTAAACCAATTTGAAGTGATTGATGTTAAGGCGTTTTCCATTTCATTCTTTGTTGCACACCCACTCTCCAAAACGCAAGGAGCCGACGGCCACCCATTTTTCAAACGACAAACATGCCCGAAGAAAAGAAAAGCCCATCATATCCTGATATAATCCAAAGTGTCAGAATGCAAAATTATACACCGATTCTTTCCACTCGCGCCTCCGCAGACACGCATGTTCTCGCGCCCTTTGTATTTTCTCAGGCGGCGGAGATAATTTCAAGTTTGTTTCTACCTTCAAGGCTGGACGAATTATTTCCACCTAATATGGAGTCCATTCATGAAACCTCAAAAACCCTGCAACGCATGCAAAAAGCAGCTGTTTGTTTTTCACGCTCGGAAATATAACACCCAGCAAAAAATCAGAAACGAGTGAAAACAAGTTTTCCAAACAAGATTCTTATCTCATTGAAGAAAGAAAAAAAGAAATTCGGAGATATCTGGTGAGGCGTGCAAGGAAAGTTTCACGTTTGTTAGTTTAGATATCATCGGATAAAATCTCCGTCCGAAAAAGGCCAGAGCGCCGGAATGAAAAAAAAAACACGGCCTCTGCAGGATATTATAGGCGAAATTGCGTCACCGACGTCAAAGATAGATGCATATTTGCACGCGACACAAAGTTGTGTTATATATAAAATAATCTGGGCGCATCACCGTGCCGTAATGGGTTTAGGCTGAGTGAGTATTTAAGGCGATTATTACACAACAAATAGGCTGCGAATAAATTTCTCGTGTGAAGCGAAATAAGACAAAAAAGAAGAGCAAGCATGGGTGTGCACAAAATTTACGTCACGAAAATCTTCTGTAAATCATTTTAGTTTGTGCTCCCATTGTCAATCAGTAAGTCTCGATTGAATGTGAATGACATAATTAATTATTGGCCTGAACGAAAATTAAGTTTTTTTAAGCTAGGTAAAGTTTAAATAATTAAACTTGAAAAATACAGCACATTTTATTTGTCAAATTTGTCCAAAATTAATCAGGAAAAGTAAAAAAAAATAAATTAAATTTAAATGAATCAAACAAAAAGAAATTTCCATTAACTTTGTCGTCTAGAAAGCTTCAAAATGCACTCTAATTGCAAAGTTTGTTATAAAATTTTCTTTGAAAATAAAAACATGTAATGAATATTTTCTTATCTTCTGTTAACTTTTCTATTTTTGTGTGTTATTTGCTTGAATCATTATGACCAACTTGGAACAACAGTTTGAGAAACTAGGTAATATTCAGAGCGAAAAATATTCAAATTTGATCTTCCTGTCGAGGATGAGTCAGTCTGGAAGCTTCGTTTTTTTCTGCACGTTAATAACAATGCAAACAATAACAAACGTGTACTTGAGTTTTTCGAGAAAGGCCAGATTTTTATCTCGCTTGCCTCCCGAAGCGTGCGGAGAACAATGAATGCTCTAACATGGAATTTAAATCAATGTTGCAGGATGAGATTGAAGACGATGACGACGACCTGATCTGCTCCCTCGACTCGCCTGCCTCTCCCGCCGCCCCGCCAGTTCCAGCCCCCAGGAGCAACGTCAACCCCTGGCGGAGAACAGGTCAGCAGAACTTTTTTAGCAGACTTTTCAGCTGGTTTTGAAAAGACAAACTATATTCTTTAATTTTAAGATGGAATAATTATTACAATTATTTTGGTATATTTTGTGTTTATACATCAAATATCATGTATTTTAAAAACACAGATGGTAAAAAATGGAATTTTAATTAAAAATACCAAAAACAATCCTAGAAATTAAGTTTATTTTAAGTCATTCTGTTTTTCACCACCTGTGTTTTTTGTTTGTGTTAATTTCAAAAGCTTTTATTTTTGTGTTTTTTTGAATGAAGACATCAAATAAATTGGGAGCCGCGTGGCTCCAACTCATAAGTCACTCACATAAAGTAAAAACTACAAAACGCGGTTTCTCAGCATTCGCCTCTTTTGCAATTAAGCGAGTTTTTTTTTTAATTTGTGAGAAAGTGAGTGTCTGCTGTTCATTATAGTCTTGGAATAATTTATACAGCGAGACGTCCAGTTTCTGCGTGATTTATTGAGCTCGGAATTTCTCCTTCCTTGTTGATAAATTTGAGAAAGCATCATAATGATAAAATATATTTCGTAATTTGTTGTGAAAGTCTTGAAAATGATCTTGTCACCAAGTATTTTAAAAAATTTCTGTCGATTCATATCTTCAAAGCTTTCATTGTTGATCAAAACGAGTTTCTGCTGAATGACAACTTTTCTCACACGATATTTTGATTTCTTCTTTTCAAATCAGTAAATAACTGACCTCGTTTGTTTTCTAACAAAATATATTTATACCACCTGCGCGACAATGCTTATAATTTCTCTCTCGCGGTACTTTGTGGCATTGTGTGGCACAGAAAAGACAACTATGTACTGTTACTTTTGCGTGAAAAATTCCAGCTCTATAAATAAAGGAAACTGCTCTCCCAAAAGGTGAGAGCTATGAGCAAAAAGCTGCTCCAACATTTTGATCTTAAAGATGTTGCTTGCCCTCGAGACATTTTCGGATATATAGAGAGACTAATGCTGAGAATCCAAAGTCATCAAATTAAACAATTTATATAAACCATGTTATATTTAACCTCTACACATAAACTGTTCCTACATAATTTTATGTCTTAATTTTATATTTTCCATTAAGTCCATAGTTGATATAAAATAAACCATTGGTGCCTTCTGTTTAAAGCTTAATTTCAATTTTTTGTTTCATTAATTTTTACAGGTTGAATTATTTTTATTAATTTTTGTCCACAGCCACATTTTATTTCAAAAAGAGCTATAATTATTTTATTCCCCTCTAAAATGGTGTCATTGTTGAAATTATTATTGCCAACCAAAACACGTTTGTTTGGTGCTTTGTGGTGCCGCAGACTCAACCGGCAGCACTTCTTCAACCGGCGGCAACCACCTGAAGCTGCGATACGACCTGGGTGACCTTTTGGCTGGCAGTCGCGCCTCAGGGTTCATCTCGTCTGCCGAGCACCCTGAAGACGACGGCGCTCAGGGTGTCAAGGAAGAAGCGCCCGAACCTGCACCTCGCACAGAGAGACCGGCGTCCCTCTTACTCGATTGTACGCTTGAAAAAAGAATTAGACGAAAAGTTTTTGATTATAGTTTTAAACATTTAATTTTGAAAAATAGTCGAGATTCTGAAGTTGCCAGGCTGCTGAAATGTTCTCATTTTAATTTTAAAATATTTCAATAATATTGAAAATGTAGGCATACATTTTGATATTTTATGGAAATTTAAAATTTACTCTAAAATAAAAATAAAAACTATAATAAATATAATTTTTGTAACAAATTTTTTGCACAAAATAATTTCCACTTTTTTTACATTAATTTTAGCATTTCACTTTTTTTAAATTAGCATTCAAGATTTGCAACTACTCAAAAAGTGAACTCACGCAGTCCTGACAACTTATAAAAACGCTCAGCATGTTTGTGTGCGTGCCTAGCATACTTAATTGTTTTACTTTGCAAATTTAAGTACAAAATTAACCGCGTAGCCTGATGTATAAAAAAGTCTTGAGGGCAAAACCACTTTCTATGTACAGCAAAATGAGTAGATTTAATTTAGATTTCGGAGTTGTTTTTTACTTTAACAAATATATGATTTTCATTGAGAAAGATATCTATGAACAACTGCGTGAAGTCCTTACTTGTTTCAACGAAGCGTAAGAAAGACATTTTTACTTTGTTTGTTTCGCTTTTCATGGCAGATCTGCTGATGGGTTCAAAATAAAGCTTGGAAATAACAAAACATGCCAAACATTGTTTTCCAAGTCAGTCGCCTTTCATACGAAAATCAGAACCCACTGTCAATCTCATTTTCAGTTTTTAATATTGAGTTGATTTTTTGTGTTGCAGCTGTGAACGAAAAAAACTCTCATTTAACAAGCTTTCATATAATTATCATTTTCAGCATGAGCATGGCCTTAAAATATAATATGTGTCTATAAAATAATGAATCGTTAGTGAGCAGAGAAATAATAATAGTGCTTTATGAATGTACGACATATCAAAATCCGATTTTGACCGAGTGACTTGTGTTTCAGCGTACGATTTGGCCACGCAGTGCCCAAGCAGGAGGGCCACGCTCAGGAGAAGACACACCGTAGCCGGAACCAAAGACGATAAAAACGAAAATGAAGTCAACGATGAACTGGTAATAATATTTATATTTTATGGTCTTCTCAAAATCTTCTAAAAATAAAATTTTAAAGATTTACAGTAAGTAAAGTTAAAAAATTATCAAAATAAATTCAAACTAGACTTCCCACAAAAAACTATTTATATTATATGTCAGTATTTACAGAACATGAAAAATTAAAGCTTAATTTTAAAAATAAATGTTATAGCATAAATTTAAAATTATCCTAGAATTCTATGCAGTCTGCAATATTAAAGTAAACATTTTTTAAATGTATTTCTGCAGCCCGCAAAGAGATGCTCGCACGCCTTTGACGCCGAAAAGGGTGAAGAGGCCGAGGAGGACGACGACACCAGGACGCACACCAGCCTTGGCTCGTGCGAACTCAACTGGTCGCGCTCCTCGCTGCAGGACGAGCTGCTCCATTCGGTAAGAACGGAGACACTTTCAATTCCATTCACCAATCTCTTTACTTTCTTGACGTCTGAATGTACTTGACGTTCGAGCGTATGAGTGTTTTTATTAACGAGAGCTTTGTTCTGGTTGGACAGTCGCACTGGCAGTCGGCGATGGAGTGCCTGTCACTGACGCTCGAGGAGATCGTGCACATCCGCAGCGTGCTTACCAAAGCTGAGCTCGATGGATTACCAGTCGAGGGTCGGATTAAGGAAGAAGTCGAAAAAAGAAAAGTAAGTTATAGAACTATTAATTTTAAAAGATTTTAAAAGAGACTAAGTTATAACAATGTTTATAAAATTTTAGTATTGTTTGTAGATTTTTGTTTATTTTAATTGTTATTCAAAATATAAACATATTTTGTTAAATAACCTAAAATAAGTTTTTAATAAATATTATAATTAGTATTACTAGCTAATATCATAATTTTTCTCAGTTATAAATTTAGCAATATTTATAATTTATAATACAGCAATGCATCGTGTTATTTGATACATTTTAAATAAATATCTTGAAGTTAATCGTTTATATCTGAAACTGGAAACACGCAACTAAATTTATGCATAGCAAATTTAAAGATAAATATTTATGATGGCAAAAATAAACAGTTCAAATCAAAAGTGAATGTAAGGAGCAGATTTTAAGCTTCAAGATTTTTTTATTTAAATTGTTATTAGTTGGAAGGTCTACATTGGTAAAGTTTCGAAGAATTAACATTATTCTTTTTGCTATCCAAAAAACCGTGTTAAATAAATCCTCTCTTCCGCTTCATCGTTTTGTTGGCGTTGCGAATTCTAAAGGCGAGGCCAAAAGCAAAGAAACTTTTGACAGGCACATTTAAATTCAAATTGACCGCTTTAACACGCGAATAAGAACTTCAAACGCATGACTTGTTCCGTTGCACGAAAATAAGGTATTAAGGCGTGTTTATTTTTGTTCCAGGTGTGCTTCCTGTGTATGAAGACGCGCTTCAGCATCTTCGGTCCGTGGGGCCAGAAATGCAAACTGTGTCAGAGGACTGTCTGCAACAAGTGTTGCGATAAGGTAAATTAATCGTAACTAGAAATTAGATAATTTATTTACTTTAATAAAAATTAATGAAAGCAAAACAAAATAATATAATGGGAAGTAGCATATTTTTTTATTATTTTAAAAGCTATTAATATTTAATATAAATTTGAATACATAGTTCTTAAAAAAAAAAAAAAACTATCAAATTAGAGAATTTTGATAATTCCAAATCAATAATTGAGAGAGGGTTTTAGTTATTTTTTATTTTTTTTTTTTATATTAAAACTAATTTATTAATTTTCTTTGTTAATAATCAAGTCTGATACTTAAAAGCCACACTAATGAAAGGAAAAAATTAACTTTTTAAATTAATTGATAGTTTTTTGTAAAAAAAAGAGGTTCAATGAAAGAAAACTATTTTTATAATTCAATTCAAATATAAATACATGATTTTTTAAATAAAATGTTTTTCAGATGAGGATTCCCACAGAGCACTTTTCGCGCGTGCCTGTTTTTGCCCTGTCGCCAGGTTTGTCTTCACCTGAAGGCAGCGATGATGGATCCAGCTCGCCAACCTTTGGCCGCTCCCTGATGAACCGGCTTTTGGCCGCTGCCCCTCAGCAGATGACGGCACCGCCAGCCCCAGCCCCGCAGCGCTTCAACAGCGTTGGCAGCGCCCCTACTTCACCCACCCTCACGCGGCGCACAACCTCCTCGGCCACCCCTACGCAACTCCACTCGGACACCCCGCCACCCCTCAAAGTTGAACTCGAGACCCTCAGCAGCTCTGCGGGCAGTGACGAGAAATGCCCTACCGAGAATCAGCCGCAGTCCTTACCAGTCACCGTGGACAAGCCCAACCCGGCACAGAGGGGGTAAGAAAAATTTTGCTTGATTTTTTTTTTAATATTTATAATTTATTTATTTATTATTATTATGAAAAAAGCTTACTTTACTAGAAACTTTATTTTCCATTACTTCACTTCCCTTTACTTAACTTCAATTCACTCTGCTCTGCTTTGCTTTGCTTTACCTAAAAACGTAATCCTCATCTAAGTTATCATGAAATGTTTGATTTAAATTAAATTATTTTAACAATACTGGGCAGCACTAACACATTTTTACACTCAAGGTTTTCAATAAAATAAAATGAGCAGATTTCAAACTTTATACATTCATTAATTCAATTCTTTTAGCCAATCGCGCTCTGAGTCATCTGAGTGCAAGCGCGATTGCAAGTGCAGAGCGCGTAGCTCATTGTGCACTCATTGCCAAGTATGAAAATAAGTTTATCAAGGAAATAGTAAAATATTACAGCGCATTATACTATGTTTGTAAAATATTACAAAATTAGCACCTCATTTTATTTAATAGTAAAAGTGATAATGAAATTTTAAAATAAAGAACTAAAAAATTATTATGTATTTAGAAATGAATTAAATTGCGATTTAAAAGTATATTTTTTATTTTCACTATAATTTTCTCTTTTTTTCTAGTTTTTTGATGCGCTCGAAAACGCTTGGTCGGCCATCAGGAGCTGACAAGACGGCCGAGAAGTTGAAGGGGCTGCAGATGATTGTGTGCCTGGACTGCAAAACGATGGTCCTGCAAATAATCAAGACGTCTCGCACAAGTCGTAGCCAGGCCATCAAAAACCTATCACTCAACATTTCCCCTGTATATTGACTAGAGACTGCCCCAGTTTAATATTTAATTTTCCTGTAAAGCCTACTATGTAATATGTATGATGTAAGACTATAATTTAAGTAATAACAAAAAACGCGATGGATGAACTATAAAGAAAGAGTATTATAAATAAGTAAATATAATAATTCGATCTCTGCCCGCCACGATAAGGCTTTTTGTAAATCATGTGGATATATATCAATATTATGGAAAATCATAATCACATAGGCGGATCACAGCTTTTTCGTAGAAAGTGGAGCTTAATTGTAATTTCTTTTTTGCCGCATGAATATAACTCTTGAGAATGAAGCAAAGTAGATATTTTTACTAATTTTATTGTGTATGATAATAAGATTCCAAAGTCTAATTCCGTTGCTTCCAATGAGCCTGATTTTTAAAAATAATTCTTTCACTTCTTCTCTATGCACATCATATCATCTTCGATGGCAGCTATTCCCCCCAAACATTTTGAGAACTTGTTTAAGAATAAAAACGATTACTACCACATAAAAATTGATTTTTAATTTCAATAATTTCCTTTGTTTTGTTTTTTTACCAACAAAAAATGAAACATTTTACTGAGAGAGGTGGTGTAGGTTGGCTGGAGAAATAAGGACTAACCAGCTGGATGGAAAAATAAGGACAAACAGTATCAGCTTTTCATGCATGCATAGAAGGTATAACATGGCAAAAACAATGTTAACACAATGCCATCATGTAGAACAGAATGTGCTTTTTATGATCATAAAGTTTGTGTATATTGAAAAAGAGACATCATTTTCTCAACATTAATAAGTTATCATCCAGATTTATTTCTCGTTTCACAGCTTGTTACAAAAAACTAACAAGGCTAACAAAACAATTTTGGTAAGTAGGCTGTTGAGTTTCATTTCTTCGAAGTTGCAAAAGTAATGTGGCTCAGTTAACTTAAAAGAGATTTTGTAATTAATTTTTTGCTCCATCAGCCGCAACCTCGGCGTTCTCCTTGTTGGTGTTCTGGTCGTCAGGCTTCATAGCAGGGAACAGCAAAACCTCCTGAAAATAATTGTTAGATTCTCAATTATTTGATTTAAATAGCGGCATACTTTAATGTTGTTGTTGTTGGTGAGGAACATGGTCAGTCTGTCAATGCCCATTCCCCATCCTCCGGTTGGTGGCAATCCATACTCAAGCGCAGTGCAGAAATTCTCATCTACTACCTGGGCCTCATCATCTCCAGCTGCTTTGTCCTAAAATTGTTCATTCCAATCGTTAGGAAAAGTTTGTAAAAATAAATTCATCCACAATTATTTATTTAGTTTGTGGTTTCCTCTTAAGTTAAAAATCAAACTAAGCCTCGTTATAAATAAAAAAATTCTTTAAATTTACGCAATTAGGTTTAAAGAGAAATTTTAAGTCATCCTTGTAAATAAAGAAAAATTAGCACCTTGGCCTGCTGCTCAAATCGATCTCTCTGTTCAATAGGGTCGTTCAACTCTGTGTATGCATTGCACACCTCCTTGGTCATGACAAACAGCTCGAAGCGCTCAGTGAGACCAGGTGTCGTCCTGTGCCACTTGGACAATGGACTCATCACTTGCGGGTGGTCTAAGATAAAGGTTGGATTGGTGATCTGGTCCTCCAAAAAGTGGCCGACTAACTTGTCAAGCAACCGAGCTGCCGTCCTCGGAGGTGGACACTCGACCTGGTGCTTCTCGCACAATTTTGACAGCTGGGCTGCAGCTTCAGGGGTCAACAACTTAGTCGGGTCTGGAAGCTTCTCTTTCAGACACTCCTCCAGGGTGGAAATCATGTGCATCCGCTTGAAGGGCGGAGTGAAGTCGATTTCCACTTCCGGTCCCTCCGGGCCCTCTGGCTGGTACTTGACTTTGTACGAGCCGGTGATGCTCTTGACCATTCCAGAGACCATGCTCTCAGTGATGGCCATCAGGTCGTGGTAATCAGCGTAGGCCATGTAGAACTCGCAAGTTGTGAACTCAGGGTTGTGCGTCAGGTCGATGCCTTCGTTGCGGAACTGGCGACCAATTTCATACACTCGATCCAAACCACCCACAACCAACATCTAAAAAATAAAATTGATTAGAAAAAGATAGAAAAGCGTATGTAATAGAAACAGGCATTTAAATCAATATTTAAAAAAAAAAAAACGCTCAAATAAAAAATCTACAATTTTTAAAATCACCTTGAGATATAGCTCTGGAGCAATTCTCATGAAAAGGTCCATATTGAGGTCATTATGATGTGTGACGAAAGGTTTGGCAGTTGCGCCGCCAGCAATGGTATTCATCATGGGAGTCTCTACCTCTAAAAATCCTAGAGAGTCTAAAAAGTGGCGGACATAAGCAATGATCCTCGACCTTGTGATAAAAGTGTGTCGGACTCGATCATTCAAAATCAGATCGAGGTACCGCTGCCTAAATCTCGTCTCCTAAAATGCAACGGAATTTTAACAAACATTTTACCATTATTTTGTTATCAATTACCTTATCCTTGAGCCCAAAGTGAAGGTGCGGAAGCATGTGTAGGCACGGGGACAAAATCGTGATGTTCTTGGGCAACATGCTGAGTTCGCCTTTCTTGGTCCGGCAAGGCACACCCTTGACGCCAATGACGTCCCCTCTTCTCACTTTCGCCGTCTCAGCCAAAAAAGATTCCTCAGACTCATAGTGGGACGCGTTGGCCATCAACTGGAGCTTCACCCCCTCGGCACGCAGATCGTAGAAAATCAGTTTTGCTCCCGACTCCCTGATGGCGTAGACGCGGCCAGCGATTGTTTGCACCTCCTTGTCCAGAGTCTCTCCGTCCTTCAGGTGGTTGTACTTAACGATGAATTCCTCCAGACTGATTTCCACGTGGAACTTGTGAGGATAGGGTGACTCTCCCCTGGCCTTTTGCTCCGCCAACGCATTTGTTCTCAGCTTGTAGTACTCCTAAAAAAATCATAATTCAAGATATATAAAAAGGTTAACTTTTTAATACATAGGAATTATGATGCAAATTTACTGCATTTTTACATTTGGACTGATTTCCTCCTCGTTCTCCTTCTTTTTCGGCGCATTTGTAGGTTTGGCTGCGGCGACCTGCGCCTCCTTTTCGACCTTTTCCTTGGCCTTCTGCTCAGCCTTCATCCGCCGCTTCAACTCACTGAAACACACACAATTTTAATTAATGAACAATGTTGCTACTTGAGAGCAACACACCTCTTGGAACTGAAAGAGGCTCTGACTGTTTTTTGAAGGATTAGAGGCTGTTGCGCACGGAATAAAAGCCTCGCACCGAGCCCTAGCATTTTTATCTCAAATATTTTCAAGCTTTGCTTATCTGTGAATCATAAAATACAGAGGGAAAGTCTTGCTGATGCAACATTGCGGATATAAATGAAAAGGTGTTGGATAAACATATGTATTAATTTTTTGTCAGAAGTCCGATTTTCCACGAATTTCTTCAAATTGTTTTTTTTTTATAATTTTTGAGGCATGTAATATTTCGAACGTAGTAAAAAATAAATCGATTGATTTTTATCAAGGGTCAAACAAAAATTGCAAACGCAGTCAAAATGCAGCTCCAGCTTTATGTATGATACATATTTCTGCGTGACAATTTAATCACGTGCGGCCGCGGCGATCCCAGGAAAGAACGTAGCAAATTTTTTGATTAATGTAGGTAGGGAAAGTTAAATCATGCTTTTTGAGGACTTATATTTAACAAATTTGGAGATTTATCTTACTTTTTTGACAACTTTTCGCCGGCAGCTTCGGACATCGTGGCCCTACGAGAAATAAGAAACAAAACACAAAACGTGCACAGTGCACACTGCGCAAGTTTCTTCTTACACTGCGCTAATCAGTGTTGCCAACAAAACACCCAAATGCTGCTTTCGTTCGGCGCCAAACATCAAAATTGTTCCTATTCCCATGGCAAAATTTTTTAATAGAAAAATTCGAAAAATTTTAAAATTGTTATTAATTTAAATTGGAAATCAAATAATTCCAGATCAGTCTATTTAATTTTTCAGCCAAATTTAATTTCAATTTTGAATGCAGAAATATTTATTATAATCAATTTTAATAGTGGTTTCACTTGAGGCATCATGAAACACACAACACAGTATTAGAATTTTGAGAAAAAATTCATTTATTAACATTGATTTTTTTTTTATTACATTTCTATTTGCTTTGCATCATTCAAAATATGTGTTAATTTAAAAAAAAATTACATTCCCCCCTTGGAAAACCGCTTCCAGAATTTCCGCACTTCTTCATGGCCCTCTTTGGTCACTACAACTGTCCTCTTTTGATCATTGTTCCAAATCAGAACTTCCAAAGTTTTGGCATGATCACGGAGCACTGAGTAGTCAGACTGTGACAGAAATTGGTTGTACAAAACACCTTCCGAGTCGGTAAATCTTTCCCGCTCATTTTCCCACAATTGGATCTGCAAAAATTTAAGTCTGAGTATTTCAATCAAAATTCTAATGAAAGCTCCAACCTGGTCAACAATGGTGAGAGGCAGAGTGGGTGGATCTTTCATCATTTCAGGGTGAGCGTGTTGTCTAAGAAAATCTATAATTTGTCTGGCCGTGATTCCCGACCGCAACGCTTGTCTCACCGAGTCGCGAGTCAAAACTCCAACAGTGAGATTCGGCATCCTGAATTAAAAACAAATAAATTAAATTAATCAAAAAAATTTTGCAGTGAAAATACCTAAGTAGGAGCTCAGTGAAAATTCCTAACAAGGCCACCTGAAGGTCGTCCTGGGTGTAAGCGTAAACTCGGAAGTTTGTCTCAACGACTATAAAACCTGGATGAGAATTTCTCGATGTGCTGCTACCTTTCCCTGATGCAATATCTAGGGCTAGTCTTGTGGGGTAGAATCTGCCCGCTTTCCTCTAAAAACAACAACTACTAAAACAATCAAAGTTTCAATTCAATTTAACCTTTCTTTGGTAAACAAGACCAAATTCTCTGAGGTGTTGGAGAAAAACCAAAAGGCTTTCACTCATTCCCTCTGTACTGTAATCCTAAAAAAATATTTATTATTTATTTAAAAATTTAAATTTGTCTAAATAAATCTACCTTTCCCAATGTGGAAAAACTAAGTTGGAATAAAAACGCTAGGCATGACACAAGGTCCATCCCTCGAGAGTCGACCGTGTCCAGGTACTGCAGCAGGAAGTACCACACTTGGGCAGCAGTGTCCAGCAGCAAGAACTGGAAGCCCTCCTTGGTGATGCAGGTCGAACCGCCATCATCCTCATCTCTCTTCATTAAACCGGCGTGCAGCAAAATTCTGACGGCGTCGGCAGAGATGCCGCCTTCCTTCTGCTGCTGTTGAGAGCCCACCATGTAGTGCAAAACACACTTCCATCTGTCGAAGGCGTACTCGTCCAAGAACGGGATGTCTCTGGGCTTTGTGTCTGTCTCCATTTGTGCTGACAAACTCCATGGCTTACCCCTAAAAACAGGAAAATCATCCAATTAATTATTTTTTAAAAATATTTTAAATTAAGGATTTAATTAGTTGTTTAATAAACAACTGTAACAAATACAAAAAAATTCAATTGAAAATCTGAAATCTGATATTTCAATTATTTCTTGTATTTTCTACTGACCTCTAGTTTTATAAGAAAAACCAATTATTCTTAAACATCCCTTAAATTAATTTTGTTTAATAAAAAATACATTCGAATATTCAATTTTCATTTCAACAAACGTAATTTCTACCTTTATTTTATAATAAATTTTAATAAATATAAGTATAAAAGGATAAAAATAAATTGTTATTTTAAAAATCTTTACCCTCCCAGCAATGCAATCTTCATGTTTTTCTTAAACGTCGAGTTGAGAATCCAACCAGTCAAGCCTCCAGTCAACGAAGTTTCTTGCCACACCCGCAACTCCGTGAGCACCCCGACAACCTCCAAATGCTCCCTGTAAGAAATATATGTGCTAGAGAAGGATCATTTTAATGATTAAGAAAATCTTACTTTGAATAAGCCTGAGACACCCATGAAGCTACCACTGCCTGAGGAACCGATTGCTCCACAAACAGCAAGCGAAGAACATAGTGTTTGGCAGTGTCTGGAAGTTCCCTGAAATTAAATACAATATTTTGATGCTTGATTAAATTTTGCTATTCAAACTGTCCACCTGAAAACAGCTAAACAGGTCGCTGGGTGATTGTAGAGCCGGTCTAAAATGTCCGGAGGAAGAGTTTTCAAATAGTCGTGCAGATTTTTGCAGTGGATTTTTCTATCCTTTGGTGTTTTCTTAGCAGCTGAAGTTTCTTCCATATTCTCCTTGATTCTGCAAGCAAGAACTGAAAATTTAAATACTCTTTCAATGTCTAGTTTAAATTTATTATTGAAAAAAAAATCAAACATAGTTTTTTTTTTAAGACTTTATGCTTCGTTTAAACAATTTTCCCAACAAAAATGTCAAACTTCATGTCATTATGCTATTGCAACTTAAAACTAGCGAGAAAATCGGCTATGTATAAAAAAATTATAACCGTATAATTACATTAATTAAACATAACTTACCGCTGCTTCTAGCAAAAATGTGTTTTTATTTACATTTACAAATTTACAGCCGGGAGCCGGCACACATTAGTTCTCTATTTGTCCGCTAGATAAACGATTGGAAACTGTTTCGTTGGTTTTGGTTGCTTGTTTGGTTGGTATTGTTGGTTGGTAATGGTAAGGCCAATAAGGCGGTGGCGAAACTGGCGAACGGCGATCACACGGGATCCACGGTGATCTTAGCAATTTTGCAAAATCGTGTATGTAAACAATGCTAGAGAGAGTGTGAGAAAAAGAGACGGAGACGGACAGACCGGACAGTTTTGACAAAGAAACTGGGCTTGTGAGGCGAGACTCTTTGACGATACAAAATTACAAACAGTCCAGGGGAGAGTCGTCTGTTATCTCTGACAGGAGGCGCTTTCTTTCATAACATAAAAGTACGACGTTTTGCATTTCCACTTCGCATATTTGCATTTGCACGTGAAAGACACAGGAGAAACAGGACGTGGGAGGTCTTGAATTAAAGGTAAATTTTGGCAATATTTCGCGTGCTCCAAACCGTGAAAAAAATTGTTAATTTTAATTTATGCAGAACAATAATATTTAAAAAAAAAAATCAGCAATGATATGTATTAATTTCAATGTTTTTTTCCGTTTGCAGTTTTCTTGGAATAAAGGTGTGAATTTATTGAAGTTAAAAAAAGCAATGGGAAAATATAAGATCAAGGTATGTGTATTTAAAATTATTTTAGTCTTTGTTGATCTATTTATTTTGTATTGTGCATAGATTTTAAAAAGAATTAGATCCAATTGTTTTTTTCAATCATGACTATGTATGAGTCAATAATATAAAATATAATTATTGATTAAATTTATTTTCATATATTATGTATTATTTATTCTCTATTCATGTGCATTCATGTTACATTACATCGCAAAAAATTACACTGCACAAAAAAAGTGGAAACATGCATCAACATAGAAAAGTAAAAACATAAAAAAATGCCGGAAATTAGAGGAGTCAATAATTTATAATTATATTATTGCTCCAACAACAATTATAAAATCTAATTCTTTTTTGTTGTACATAATTGTTTTTTTTAACAAATAACTTTTTAGATTGGTATAATTGGTGGCTCTGGTTTGGACGACCCCGACATTCTTGATGATCGTGTTGAGAAAAAGGTGACCACTAAGTTTGGGGATCCTTCGGACGTACTCATCGAAGGAAAAATTGGTGGACAAGAGTGTGTCCTTCTTGCTAGGTAAATTTTAAAACAAATTCAACATAATAGCATAAATATATTATGTTATTTTAGACATGGGCGCCGCCACTCCATCATGCCGTCCGCAGTCAATTTCAGAGCCAACATTTGGGCTTTGAAGGATGCTGGCTGCACTCACATTTTGGCTTCGACTGCCACTGGTTCTCTGAGGGAAGAAATTTGTCCGGGACACTTGGTTGTCCTAGACAGTTTTATTGACCGGTAAAAACAAAATTTTGTTACTCCTGTCTTGGTATTATTTATAGTTTTATTCAGCACAACGAAACGAGCTCAGTCCTTCTACGATGGGACCTTGGAGGAAGGTGTGTGCCATTTGCCTATGTACCCTGCTTTCTGTGAAGAGACCAGGAAATTAATTATTGGACTGCTGACTAAGAATGGCGTCACACACCACTCAAAGGGGACCTGCGTCTCAATCGAAGGTCCGCGATTTTCCTCCAGGGCAGAGAGCAACATGTTCCGCTCCTGGGGTGCGGATGTTATCAACATGACAACTTGTCCTGAAGTAAATTGTGTCTTTTGTTGCAAAAGAAAAATAATTTTCTACCAATATTAGGTTGTGTTGGCCAAGGAGGCTGGAATTTGCTATGCAGCTGTTGCCATGTCCACTGATTACGACTGCTGGCGTGACCACGGAGACACAGTCTGTGTTGCGGACGTGCTTGCCACATTCAAGAAAAATGCTGAGAAAGTGACAGCTCTGTTCAAAGAAGCTGTTCCCTTGATCGGGAATCAAGGTCACTGGGACGACATTATTGACAACCTTAGAGTAATATTTTCCAAAATAATAGTTGAACTGATTATTGATTTAATAAATTTTCTTCAGGGCACTGTCGAAGGAAGCATCATGAGGCCCAGCCACTAAAATGGTGTGAAAGAAGTCATTCAATTATTTGATTCCTATTAAATAAAAATTTTGATTCTTTAAAAGAAACAAAATTGATTGTCAAAGTTCCTTGTTATTTTCAATTTTTACATAGATCAAAATTACTTTAATCTAGGGCCATCATCATATACTTTTACCAATATCCTACTTTTCCAACTAGGAATTATGCAAACTAGAACTTTTGTACACAATTTAACACTATACACTTGGAAACTACTACGTAGCTGAAGGCTATGTATCCATCGCTAGAAAATCTGGCGAGTTTGTGGATCGATACGAATCATCTGCAGTCAACGTCGTTGCGTCACTATCACTTATTTCGTGGGGCATATCTCGGGTCTCAGACAAATCTTGCTTCCGCCTGGAATGCACCTCTTTGTGCCCTTCTCGTTGTTTTTCCGAACTTGATGTGCTCGACGACTCAGAGTAAGGCTTCCGAACAGGCGGTACTAAATCCATCAGGGTCACACTGCTGTTGCCGGCCTTCAATCTCAGGTCTGTGTACAACTTGTCCTCAATCTTCGGAAGAATATCAAGTTCCATGTCCTCGGGGCTCTGAGGAAGATTTAAAAATTATTTACTGGTAAACCTAGATTCAATAAGGATTGGGAATAAAAATGTGTCCCATCAGCTCTCATAATCTTCGCACATTGGACCACAAAAGCAGCTCAATGCCCTGTGAAATTATTTAAAAAGTTTCTAACAAACACATCTCTAAGTGTTGACGCACTGAGAGATATTGAAAAACAACTTAGAGAATTTAACAAAGCTGAAAGCCACTAAACTTCCTGCTGCGTTTCTGTTTCTCATCATGTGGGACAAGAAAATAATACAAAATAAATAAATACGGACCTCGAAGCCACTAACCTCAGGTGCGGTGAAGCTAAGCTTGGGCACTTTTGAGTGGCAAGGGCAGAAGGTGTTGGGGAAAATAGCGAGGACAGGTTCTTGGCAGGGAGGAAGATCTGCCTGCATAGCTCCACATGGCCGCAGCAATAGTTGCTGGGAGTCGTTGAGGATGTGTTTAAGGCAGAGCTTTGCATAAGGCATGGCCCTGTCATCACACTTGACGCCGCCCTCCGTAAAGGTACACCTTGACGCATGACTCTGGCGACTCGGTTGAAATGCCAACAAAGCCTAATAAGACAAATAATCAAGTTTCAGAGTTAATGTGAAACCAAAAATAATACTTGAGCTTTTCGGTCTTTTTCCCTTTTGTGAAGAACTGCCTCAACTCCGTAGAGCTTGTGGTAACGATTCAATGCCTGAAGTTTTTTGTAAACCGATTGCTCTTCTGAGGTATTCTTTGGTTGCTGATGTATACTCACTGAAAAAATACCAAAACTATTTAGTCCCACAAGAGTGCCAACATAAAGTATCGCAATTTAATTTTCAGTCCCATCAGCTCTCATAATCTTCGCACACTGGGCCACAAAAGCAGTTCCATCCTAGTCGATCCAAGGCTCAGGCAACGCTGCTCAGAAAACTGAACAACAAAGCCGTCCTAGCCTTGTCTCCACCTATCAAGATCCACCACATCCCTACTGCGTGTCTCTTTCTCATCATGTGGGCTCAAAGGGAGATCTATTCAATACTAGTACTTACTCATTGTCTCCTTTTCTTTTTTAACGGAAGCAAGGTAGTGACGCCTCTGTTCCCGAAGTTTGAACTGGAGACTGCGAAACTCCCTAACATAAAGATTTTGAAGGCGAACCATGCTTTCCTTGGCTTGCGCAACAACTTCTTCCTCTGTGTAAACTCCCGCATGTCTAAAAATTAAAATCTCAGCAATAAAAAAAAAAAATTAATTAAAATAAGGAATTTCCACCTCAAGGGGTCATCCATATCACTGTCCGCGCTGTCACCTTCGCTTTCGCTGTCTCCAGACCAAGCTGCGTCCAAAGTGACATTTCCACCCTCACTAGGCTCACTGTCCGAGTCACTGGCCAAATCCAACACTCGTGCCACACTTGTGTTTAACCTTGTTGCATCAATATCCTCTAAAACTTAAATAATTAGTGGAAATAATGAAACCAAAAATTCAATAACACACCAAAAGGATTGATGACTTTGCCAGGATGAGGTATGTAGTGGCTGAGAGACTGTAAAAGGGTGTCCGCAGTTTCTTTCGGGGCCCTTTGCCGTCCACTCCGAATCCTCATGGCCAAAGCTTTTCTGCTATGCTCCGCACAATATCTCCTGGAGCAAAGAAAATTTAATATTCTTTATTGGTTATAAATTTATTTCAACATACCCGTCTTTTTTATCTAGCTTTGGGGCTATATTCAAGCATCTTTTGCCGGTGGAATTATATGTGTAAGCGCATTGTTTGTAAGGCGCGGTTGGATCTTGCAAAATGTGCCTAAGACAATAGTGCGACTTTTCGTGTCTAGGTTGGTTGCAGTTGTTCTGAATACAAAAGTCAGTTCGGGCAGCTTTGCCTGGCGATGGACTTGCATGTGATGACCGTGTGGGAGCTTTTTGCATCTAATTGGAAACTTTGGTTGAAAATCAGTGGGACAATAGTGAAAATTTGCATACCCTTGGCTTTTTAGTAGCCTTTGCGGCCTCTAAACCTCTGACGTGCATCTAGTAAGGATCGCTTGCACTCGAAAAAGGTGTTGCGCAAGGACTGGCACTCGACTGGCGTTTCGCCACTCTTCAGACAGTCACGCGGGGTCTTCCCTCGGATCTTGACGCAGTCACTCTCCAGCAAGCACACCTTCAGATCCGCTCGAATCCCGGAGCAAGGAGACTTGTCCTTCAATTGGGAGTTCTCATCTTCGAAGCGCAGCATAACACTCTGCCCAGATGCCCCAGCTGAAAAAAATGAGTTAAGGAATTTTTGTAAACGAAATATAGAATAAAAACGTTAATTCAAGCTTCAAATACAGAAACCGGCCTAATTGCATTAAATTTAAAAAAATCTGCTTTTCAATGTTCGCGCGTCTGCAGAGCATCACCGCGTTGACTCCGCACTCTCCGCAGACCATTTTTTATGACATACAACGAATCTGATGCTCTTGACGCCCAAAGAGCCACTTTACTCTGACTTTATTCCATTCCAGCAATAGTTTGCATATTCATGTATGTAACAAAGCTCTAAAATGAGTGGTATTTTACTTACAGCGAGCGCTATTCTGCGAGTAAACCTGGCTCTCTGGCATGAACTTGCCTCTAGTTATTCTATTCCCTTGCGAAAATGTAATTCATTCATTTGCCGAAAAGTTCATGAGGGAGCGACGGAGACACCGCCCCAACCACTATTTTCCTATTTATTATAAGTTTTTTTTTTAAATTTTATCAAAGCAAAAAATTCAATTTTAAACTACCATAAAAACATTCAAAGTGAAATTTGGTAAGTTTTTCAAAATAAGGAATTAAAATAATCGAAATAATTACATAATACAATATGAAATGAAAAACTGGACGATTTGAACACAGTAGTACATTTTTGGTCTTCAAAAGGGCGCGCACACAGGTGAGTTAGAACAGAACATATTATAAACACAGCGCTTTTTTCGAAAAAAGGGAAGTTTTAGCAACAATTTTAATCATGACTATACATAGTCGTAGTGGGCAACGTAATTCAAAAGTTCGCGCGTTATTCAATGAGCGCATCTTTAAGTTCACAGGGCTGTGCTTTGAACATAATTAATGGGGACATTATTTCACGATTTTAGAGGTCCTCTGATCTCACTTTCACGCTAAAACATCCTAAAAAACGTTTAGAACAAAATGAAAATCTCAATAGAAAGGCAGAACCCTTACAGAGCACACAATTCGGTGAGGAAACTTGTCTGTCGCGTGCCGCGTTGGAGAGTGCCTCGTAGTGATTAGTTAGTGAAATTGCCGCATTTGTACTGAGGGCGCCATCAGAAAATCAGGCAATCGAGCAAAGTCAAAACACCGAAAAAAAATAATATTTTGTTATTTAAACCTTTTATTCAATGTTTAAAACCACCAAATTTGGTTTTTAAATTATTATAAAAATTAAAAATTGCAATTTGAGAGTGATTTCTGTCAAAATGATCAATAAATATTTTCGAAGATACGTCAACGACTCTGTTCCAACTCATGAGTCAACTTCCTGTCAGCATTTCGTGTGAAATTAAATGGCGGCTGAGGAAAAATGGTACTTTTCAAAAGAGCTAATAGCAAGTACCCCAAGCAGAAGATGCGGGATCGACCCTGACAGAGAGCTTTCCTACAGACAGCAGGCTGCGAATTTCATCCAGGACATGGGACAGCGGCTCAAAGTGTATCCTTTTTCGCAATTATGCAACGACGTTTTCGAGTCGGGCTTGCCTTGGCGAACCATCGAGAAACACAAAACTTTCATTTTTTTCCTACTTGGCTTCTTCTCCACCGCATCTCTTCCTTCTCTAATTTTTATTAATACTTTCAAGTTTATTAAATTTCTTCTAATTTTTAAAAAATTTCTGCTCCAAATACCCTTGAAAATGAACTTGTCTAAGACCTTCAACTTTCCTCAAACAAACTCACGTTGCCTCTTGCAAAGCGCAATTTTGTCCAAAATAATGCAATTTAATACTTGTTTCTAATCATTTTCATGGTTTTAATTGATTAAAATGTTTGAATTACGGTAATTTGAGACCATTTTGCTTATTTCGGTCGATAAACAAGTCGGGAAACCACGCGGCCTTGGCTCGCGAGGAAAATTTTATTTTAATAGGTCAGATAGACGCACTTGATGACGATCAAAAGGTTGTTTACACGCGCGCTCATTTCTTCGTGTACCGCAATTTGAATTAATTTTCCTTGACTCTCGCCTACAGTACGCAACTATGTATCAACACAGCGATCGTTTATATGCACCGATTCTACATGTTCCACTCGTTCACGGTGTTTCACCGCAACAGTATCTCCACAGCCTCTCTCTTCCTTGCAGCAAAAGTAGAGGAGCAACCTCGGAAATTGGAACATGTCATAACCGTGGCCCATTGGTGTTTGAACCGGGAGGGAAAACTAGACACAAAGTCAGAGGTGATTTGATTAAAAAGGAATTTCATTTTTGTCTTGACTGAGACTTTGTTTTTGTGGTCAATGTTTCAGTTGTATCTTGAAAATGCGCAAGAATTAGTTTTCAACGAAAACGTCCTGCTGCAAACACTTGGGTTTGACGTCGGCATAGACCATCCACACACGCATGTAGTGAAATGCTGCCAATTAGTACGAGGTGTGTAATCGCAAATCCCTAACTTTGTACATAGACAATTTAATCCCCCATCTAAAATGATCACCATCAAAATATAACCACAACAAATAATAAGACAACAACAATTGACAAATTTAGCATGGAATTTGTTAATACATTTTTTCGATCCCCTGGTATTTTTGGGTGATGGGAATTTGTTCGTGAAATGATTGCTAATGTGGTTGGTGCTGATTTTCTCTTCCCGGCTCCTGTGTGGGCTCTGGGGAGAGGCTACTACACCTTCTGCTGGCCGTCAACTCTTTGCTGTTGATGTTTGTGCTGACGATTGGACCATCTGTGCTGTTCATCTGTCCACGCAACAGCCAACAAAGAACTGGCCCAGACATCCTACTTTATGGCGTCAAACAGGTGCTGCCTCTCTCCCTCCCTGTTCTCATCTCGTCCGACTGTTGACTTATCTCACTAATTTGTGTTTTTTTTTTCTTATTCTGTGTTTCCAGCCTGCACCTTACAACCATGTGTTTGGAGTACCGACCAACCGTAGTCGCCTGTTTTTGCATCCACTTGGCGTGCAAGTGGTCGAATTGGGAGGTAAGAACCAACAAAAGCCAAGTCTAGTGGGTCAGTTTTATCTGCACGGCTTGGTGTCATTGCAGATCCCCCAGTCTAATGAAGGAAAAGACTGGTACTCGTATGTAGACTCCACTGTCACCTTGGAACAGTTGGAGCAACTGACTGCAGAATTTCTCGTCATCTATGACAAGTGTCCGTCTCGACTGAAGAAAATGAATAGTAAGCGAAATGAGGAGAGCTACGAATTGATGGCAATGGCAACAAGTCATTCTTCCAACATGCCAGCGGTAAGTTCATTTGTCTCACTTTATTGTGTTTGTTGTTTGATTCATGTAATATTTTGTAAGGTGGAAAAAATTTTGACTCGTAAAAGAAAATAGACTTTTTATACATTACATTCAAAAGAAGTTCTCTTGAAATGATCAAGTTTGAAAGCCATTGATCATAATTTTTTTGTCTAGTCAAATGAATTTGATTTTAAAATTTGATGATTCCTCTATAAAGCTTGATGTATTTTTCATTCAATAAAATTAAGCTTTCATTCTTTTAATTTCAATACAGAATTTTGTATTAGTATTTTTCTATCATTAATAATTTAAAATTATTTCTGAATGGGTGGTATTTAGAACTGTCATGTCCTTTCAGGAATTTGAGGCGCGGAGAACAAAACCAACCAGCAGTAGTGCGAGACCAGATAACCCTCTGATGCAGCGAAGTACAGAAGACCCCAAAAAGCCACATCCTCATCAGTCCAGGGTAGACTTCCAGCAATACAAGGAGAAGAAGCAGAGGGAAGCTGCTGCGGCCGCCGCTGCAACTGCTGCTGCTGGAAAGGATGGCCGACCTGCCCCGCATCACGGTCCCCGACCCCCGGTGCCGGCCACTACCACCGCTGCTCCTCCTTTGCACCACCCAAATGCCAAGAGGGAGCAGATGAAGAGAGAAATGGTTGCCAGGGAGCGTGAAAAGGCTTTGAAGTCAATTGATGGCAGAAGAGATCTACCTCACCCTCGGCTGGGAGACACCGTGCCTTCTGCAGAAGTCAAACGAGTCCGAGACGAGGCTGACTCAACGCAAAAACGAGCTTTTGAAAGTGGCAGTGGGCTGACAGAGTTGCACACAAAGCGATCTCGAGATGAATCTGCACCTGCTCCGCACCACCAACTAGACCCGAGCAGAGCGAATCACATGCACCCTTCGTCCCACGCCATGAAACGCTCTCGGGACAGCAACGGCGCCTCCGAATCAGGGTATCCTCCTGTAGTGCAGGCCAAGCGACCTCGAGAGGGCACTGACCCCATGATGGACCTTCTAGAACCTAATAAAAGACCCCGTGAGCCAACGGACTCAACGCAAGTAAAGCAAGAACTGACCGAATTTGACAGCAGCCTGACCATTAGTAGCAGTAGAGATAATAAACTGAAATTCCCCTTCCAAGAAGCTGCCAAAGCGCCGCAGACAAAAATGCCTCCCATTGCTGGATTCTCCACATCAGCCTCTCAAAAGCACTTCCATCACAAGTCCGAGATGAACCGACCACCGAGCAGCAACGAATTGGACAAGCTGATTCCACTTCTGAAACAAGAACTTGCCAAGGAGAAATCTTTTGAGTCACAACGGCCGCTTGGCATTTCTCCCTTTGTGCAACGTTCCAAGTCTCCCATGGATGTCAAACCAGATGTAAAGTCGCCTGAAATAAGCAGGAAAATTGCCAATGTCATCTCGGGCCATCCTTCCAGCCACTTATTTTCACCTGAGGACGACCGAGAGGACTCTGCTTTACCCTTGGACGTCTCCTTCAGTCTGGAGGTGCCGGTTCTTGGCCACCTGGTAAAGAACCCAAGCCCCATGTCCAGGCAACACCACCAGCCCAATTCTTCTCAAAAGCCTCTATCTCAGGAACTGACTCAGCCAAACCTCAACCAGACAAAGAGTCCAGTTACCCCAAGCAAACTGAGTTCGGCCGAGAAAAGGATGAGGACGTCTTCTAGCAGTAGTGGCAGTGACCCTGCGCTGGTACCTGTGGTTCGAAAGCTGGATGAAACTCCAGGCTTCCAGTCTCTTTTTAAGACACAAGGCACCATCAAGCTGGAAAAAGAGGCAGTGGCTGTTCCGTTGACTCCTGGAAAGGACAGTTTTGCGCCTATTGTCAAGAAAGAAACAGATCTGAAGAGTCTGCTGGCAGAATCTAGCGCCCTTCCAGCCGTTGCCTCGAATTTAAAGCCTGAGCCTGTCCCGAGCATTTTTGATCCTGCCGAACCATCTCCACTTGCACCTGCTGATATTCGGAACGATCACCACCACAAAAAGAAAAAGAAGGAAAAACATGGTGATTATAAAATTTTCAATATTATGTTTGTGAGGAAATCTGTTATCATCATTTTATTGCACATTTATAGATCAGAGTGAATTTTCACAATTTTTATATAATTAAAATAAATGTCATTGTACATCTCAAATCCATCAATCTATTGAAGTATATAAATTAATACTTTGTATTAGAAATGAAATCAAAATTAATGTTTCAGGCAAGAAAGACAAGGAGAAGAGCAAAGAGGAGAAGAAACACAAGCATAAAAAGAAGGACAAATCGAAAGAGAAACGATCGGCCGACGAGGCCACTTCTTCTCCGGTTACTGCACCAATCAAACTGACCATCTCGAAAGAGAAGCTGGACACGCCCTCTGTGGGCAGCATTAAGATCAAAATTCCCAAAGAGAGGCTGAAGGTTGAAGAATCGCTGCCGTCGGTTACGCAGATGAGCAGCTCGGGTGGCATCAAATTCAAAATCGGCAACGAACTGATCAGCGAGCGACGGCTGCCCGAATCGTCCGATGCCAAGAAGCGCAACGACAATGGCCAGGCCTCCCGCGGCCGCGGCTTCAAGCAAAACGGTCACCAAGACAGCCGCAAGGTACGTGGTGGCTATGGCCAACGTGGAAGGGGCCGAGGTGCACACCAGCCCTTGCCACTCTTCCAGCAGCCCCCTCATCAGTTTTACCCCTATCCCCCACCAACACAGCACAATATGTACATGTACCCCCCTCCTGACGCAATGTACCACTCAGGGTACTACCAGTACCCTCCCATGTACCCCCAATTGATCCCTCCTAACATGGCCATGCCCAATTTCCAACAGCCCCCACCCCCTCCGTTGCCCTCCGACCCACCCCCTGAGGCGCCACCTCCACCGCCTCCAGAATGATTATTAGAAAAAGAACATTCATTACCTGTTAAAAACCTAGAAAATTAGCCAGAGCCATATTCTTGTCTTGCTGATTAACAAGCATGAGTTTCATAGTTGACCGAAACTTTGTGATCGCTATCCACCCACAACCCCTTCCGGAGAGTTGACGATGAGTTCGGTTCCAGTAGTACAACAGTTTTATCATTATCACACTTAGACGTCACTATTTCTTATTAGTTTACCCCGTGAGAAAGAGAAAGGCTATCTAGATTCAGCCTATCTTTGATTGCTTTAGCATGTACAAAAAACGCAGCTTTGCTTGCAGTAGTTTGAACTGCATGATTGATTGTAGGTGTTTGAAATGATGAATAATTTCTCTTTTTACTTTATATTAATTGCATGATTTGGAGCTGCGCAGAACTTAATTAAAATCTTTTACTGTATATCACTTGTTATGGAAAATAAATCTTTTAAAAATCACTCTCTTCTTATTCTTGGGTCATTCAACCCTCTTAAAACGCTGGAGACACAACCACCCCTTCTTAAAAAAACATCCTTTCCAAACCCCGTCCCGAGCCATGCCACCTCCGCTTTGTGCACCCGTCTTACTTAATTTTCTTAATTGTCGCTTGATTTAAAAAAGGCCTATTCAGAACAAATTTCCATTTGTTTTTTGTAAACAATTTTCATTATGCTGTCCATGTAACCCCATGTTGGTGTTTGGTGTGCTTTGCAGGTTCCTCTGAAGGGCGAGTCTGGTAGCTTACATCCTTCTCCCGGGTGTCGACAGTGAGTCAAACCCTACACATCACCTTCATTCAGTTATTGCCTTCCTCGCAAATTTCGCAAAAATCCAGAACCAAACTCAAAAACACTGCATATTTAATTAATACTACTCTTTATATACAAAAAACCTTCAATCCGTGCAATAAGTGAAAACGTATGAATGCGACGAATCAATCTTCTTCTTTGGCAATGTCAAGTCGCTGCGTTTTACAAGAAATTCCTACTACCACCTCAGCCAGCCAGCTAAAACGCATAATTGTGCATTGCCGCTTATTTAAAAAAAATTGTGCACATCACTCTGCTTAAAAATGCTATATTTTTTTCAAAATCTGACTTTGCTTCTTACTGAAACTAACTTCTTAAGTTTGCTAGTCGACATATCCAAAAAATTAGACAGCATTCCCAAAAAATCAGTCAGCAACAGGCAAGTCAGTTGAGAAATAGAAAACCGATCGGCAGAATTGTGCAAGAAAAGAAGAGAATTAATTGAAAATTAAGGGTATTTTTGTGTGTTGCAACGCCCTGAAGTGATACGAATTAATTTTTATAATTATCCCTCACTGGAAAGAAAGGTGGGGTGTCAAAAAGAAATTTGCAAAGATGTATTTGGTGTGAGAAAAAATATGAGAAATTTGTACTTACTGTGTAAGGAATATTTCGCATGGATATAAACTGCCTCATCAGCAATGCTGTACATATATTTATAATAATCAAATACGATGAAAATGTTTTTGTACCAAGAACCATCAACCACACTGATATGCATGTAATTATTGTATTTTCACTTGTCCCGAATTAACACCGTTGTCGACCAAGTTTTAATTATTGTCATGAAAAGTTTTAATTTCGTAACAATTTGCTTTTTGTTCATGCATTTGTGCAGAAGAATAACCTGTTTCTCTCAAAACAAGCATTCTAAAGGGAATCAAAACTCTGGTGGAAAAGTTTGCGAAATTCACATTGTGGTGTTCTTCAGTGCAAGCATGATAAAAAGATATTCTGTATATTTTAAATCGTGAATTGAAGTACAGAAATTAATATAATTACTCGCCTGCACTGAAGGGCACCACACAATAAAAATAACACAACTTGAGACTGACTCATACTGATATTGTCTTTAGTGGATCCTCCTCGAAATTGCAGTAATAATCAATCATCCGACAGAGCGTACTTATTCTAACACATTTTATTTTCAAAAATTGATTTATGCACTGTAAGAAATTTTTATATCTGTGGCAGTTTGTTGTTGAAATTTCAAGTTTAAGTCCTGTCCTAATATTTTAAGGAGAAGTGTTTTGTTAAGACAGGATCACAAGGCGTGGAGACGTATAAATTAAAAAAATTCATGCCTTCCATTCTTCAAAACCGTTATTTATTTGTATCGACGTGTACATAAGTCATCGTCCAGTGTGGTTTCAAAATGTAATTTATTTTTCGCCTAGCTTCGTCCAACACACATTGAGTAATTAAACGCTGTTCACTCTCCATAATGTAACTGCGCTGTTGAAAATTTCTGAAGGAGTTCCTCTGTTGTTTTTCTGCATGAGTTGTATATGGGATTACGGCAGAAATCAATAAAAAAAAGCTCAAATATATTGTACGTGACTAATGTTATTTAAAGATAAAAATAAATACAGTAATCGTAAGGCATATTGAAACTTACAGAAGAAATTAATGAATGCACTTAACTGTAAATATTAATTGATACTAAAGAGGAATTAGCCGTACGATTCTTAACTTAAAACGAGAAAAAACACTATGCCCTTGGCAAAAATTAGATCACAAGCGCCTGGCCCATTTATCTTTGATCAATGTGACGGTATTAAAAACGAATATAAAAGGATGATCAAGTATAGACTACATCAGTTGTTATGATTTAAGTTAAATAATTGAAGGTGCTGAAGCCGAAATGTTCGGTTCAGCCAAAAATGTGTTGTTATTGAGATCAAATAGTTAATGTAATAAATAAATTGATCCATTGTGTGTAGTTTTACACAGTTTTGTCTCGCTTTATTCAAGAAGTTTTGTTCTCTGCGAATCATTTTGATAATTTCCATTTTGTGTTTGTTGCAAAAATGAGAAAAAAATTTATAAAACAGAAAACCTCATTTCTTTGGAAAAGAAAAAGTGTCACTCATTGTGTCTTAACTCATTTCCTTATTGTTCGTAGATGTCACTTCAGATTTGCGAATTATGAACCACGATTCCATATGTCTCTTTTCAATATGTTTTGTTATCTTTTAGCTGTTTCATTAATAAAACGAAATTTCGTGATCGATTTTCAAAATATTGTCTAACTTTTTATTTAATTCATTAACAAAAATTATATATTAAATTAGAAAATTATTCTCTAATTAATTATTAATTAAATTTTAGAACAATTTTTTAAACATAGTTTACTTGAAATTAATTGTTAATTGATAATAACGACTTTGTTATTAATTAAAATAGTACCAAGAGGTAAACAAAGTAAACAGTCCAGCTATTTGATGGCTTAAAAAGTTATTTTTTTCCATGAATATTTTCTGTAGAGTCATTTTTTGTATCACACAACATGGTTATTTCAAACTTCAAACAGATTTTGCACACAAAAAGCATAATATGGGTAAAAATGAACTTTGGAGTGAATCAAACAAACAACTTAGAGATATTTTCATCAGTCTAAGTCTAATAATCTAATTGTTCATCTTCACTGATTTGCTGTTTTTTGCTTCGATGAAAGAAAAAACAACTCGTACAAAAGGAAAACCAATTGAGGAAAGCCGACTTTCAATCCAACTCATCACAAATTAATATTCATGGCAAGTTTGTCGAGTTGGGAAGACGCGCGTTGTTTAATTAAAGAGCATGTCCGATGGCGTCATCGCTCTCTGCTCTCTCGCATCTCTGACCAAAATTAATTTCATTTTTACAGGAATTAGGGGGCTGTATGCAAATGCGACGGAGAAAAATGCCCGGAGATGAGAGTGTGCTGCACGCTCCGCCCCTCGCATTTTCCCCACGGAACGATTGTAGCGAGAGAACGCTCTCGCACGCACACAAGTTCCCCGGCCGCACATTCATCTCGGCTCCAAAACATCCGGCTCACAGCGCTACACTTTTAATTAACACTAAATCGCCTAATCGCTCCCCTGGCGTTACTTTAATCTGGGACTAATTAGAGTCGAGGCGCGCAACTAAAATAGCGCACGCCCAAAATTTCGCACCACTTTTTTCAAATGTGCCTTTTAGCGACTAGAAATTTAGAAAAAGGGGAAGATCGAGCTAACTTTTTAAACAACCACACGGAATGAGATGACTATCAATATTTGGTCCATTTATTTTGTGTAAAAACTACCCAATTATGGGCCACCTAAATAATGGGTGGCATTTTTAAAGTAAGAACAATAGGCAGATAATTTTTTTTTTAAATGATGTATGAAATATAAACGTAAAAAGGGGCTAACTGTTTTATAATTAAATGATTCAAATTATAAATAGCCCAAACTTATTTGAAGTTCAACCAGTGTATCAATTAGGAGGAACAATTTTTTTAGAAAAATAAATAATTTACTATAGCTTTATTGGCTGGTATTAGTGCTTTTACGTATTTTTAGTCTTGTATTTAACTTTTATAATAATTCTTCAAACTGCCCTTTACTGAAAAAAAAGATTTTAAAATAAAATAATAATATAATTTTAAAATTGTATAACATATTTAAAAACAGTTTATTTTTATTTTAACTAATTTAGTTAAGCACATTTATATAAATTTATATTCTTATTGTTAGTAAATGCAATGATGATACTATAAATTTATAATTATTCTTTATTGACACTTTCAGGTTTTTATTATAATATATAATAAACATTTACTCATTTTTTTTGTGCCATAGGTTTTTATACGTCATGTACTTTAGAAAGAGGTGGATAATAAGATATTAAACTTTAGATAAAATAGAGTCTTGTCATATTTTTGTGTGGGGGAGTTTGTTTTTCGCTTTTGAGTTTTTGACTGACCGAGGGACCGCCGGTGTTTTGCATCCCCTGCTCAAAATGGAAATGCGGTCAACGCACCCCGGCTATGCGCGCCAACTTACTTGCATCGTTAGCGGACTCGGCGTATAAACGGCAAAAATAATTATGCCTCGGCATCTACAGCGGCTAACGACCATCATCAGCGAGCCAGTGAGCTCCTGTGCTGGGCGCGGCGTTGGATGGACTCGGAATTGCAAATAAGAGCTAGCGAGCTGAATAAACACACGCAGCCGCAGCATTTACATTTAAGTACAAGCTAAATGTTTTGAAATGGTATAATTTATTCAGAAAGCTGCTGGGGGAGACCGTTCCTCTCGGCCCACCTTTGATTACGCGGCGTGTGTGTGTGCGAAGCGGCGACGAGTGCGAATCGCGCCGGCCTCTCAACCCTTTATCCAAACGCAGCGTCGTGTTTGACCAGTGGCGCTTCAACTCGGCAGCACTGCGGTTTTTAATGCAAAAGAGTAAAAAGAAATTGCATAATATCCCTATGCGCTTAAAAAAGTCTTTCTCTGTTGAAAAATGCTATATATGCTTGCAAAAAATTAGCAGTAATTACATTTAGGAAAATAAGTAGATTTTCAATTTAAGAATTGAATGAATTATATTTTTTGTTATTTATGCTTAGGAAATATGAAAAAATAAAAAAGCGTGAATGAACAGGAGTTTTATTTATATTTCCTTTATTCTATTTAATTTGAGGAATGAGGTAAATATCTACTCACTGCTGCATTAATTTCTTCTAAAATTTGAAATTTCATACATAATAATTAGAATTTTCGGCAGGATGCCTTAAAAATTTTTGAATGGCCGAAATAATTTAAGGTGAAAATTTACTACAGATTTTCACGTAATTTAATATTTATTTTGTCCATGGTGATTCGAATTTAAATTCGGCTTTTCTCGATGGTTTTTTGTGAGTTTTTATTGTTTAAGAAAAGCAATTGATTTTTGTACTAATTCTTTTCAAAATAATTTCCCAGCTCATGAATTATGGCTGCAGCCCGCAGCCGAAACATGTAGAGCAGGATATTGTTTTTCTGAAACAATGAACAACTCACAAAAACTCATCGAGGAAAAAAGCTGAATTTAAATTCAAATCACCATGAATCAACCCTCGATTGTGAACTTCTACTACAAAATTTATTTTGTCATTTCTAAAAAAAAAAAGATTAAAAGATTTATAGATTTCTAAAATACTTGCATAATGACAAGGTGGATTATAAAAATGTGTGATAAAAAAACTAAGACAAAAATATAAATTTAAATATACTTAAATTGCAACTAATTTTATACAAAGTATAAAAATAAAAGTTTTGAAAAGGACATATGTACATTTTAGTCACTTTCAGCATCGCCTGGGAATAGTGTGCGTATAGTTGATAATCACGCGTGGCAAACACGCGGCGGTTTTCGCCCACACCAGGGCCCAGAGCAGAGCAATAAAACGCGCCGAACCAATTAGACGGCCGGTGAATGGCCGTAAAATTTTATTAATTAATCATCCGCGGGTAATGTCAACAGACAGGACGCATCATCGTACGGCGCGGCAAAAAAGACGACAGGTTTAATAACTTGCTAAAGTCCTCATCACGCCCAGCTCCATAGCTGCAGTCTCGCCGCATTTTATTGCAGGCCATAACAGTTAAATTTACGATCCAATATTAACGAGATGACGATTGCGATCAGATAATAAGCGCGCCACCACCACCACCATCTCGCACGCAGGCATCCACGGCAGAATAAAGTAACGTTAAATTAAAAGAAAGCAAATTGTTTCATCATAATAAATAAATTGGAAAAGAAAATGCAAAGAAGTAAAATTCAGGCTAAAATTGCTGCTGAATGTATTATCTGAAGTAAAAAATGATTCCTTTACTCAATTGGTCAAGTGAGGAAAATTTCACCCACTTTTTTTCTAGAATCGTTGCAAAGTTCATTTGCATTTTTGTGTGCAAATTTTGCAATTAAGAGCGTAATTGGTCTGACCGATTTTTGCAGCTTTGACGCAAGCTCTGCAAATTTTAAAACTGAGCATCATTCTACTCTAGAAAAGAAATAAAATTATAATTATTTAATTATAATTTCATATTTTATCATCAAAAGCTAGAAGAAGAAAATTTTCTGTGCAGACAAACTTTTCTCAGACAATTTTGAATGTTGACAGATTCATAAATAGGGACTAACAAATTTGAATTGAAAATGGATTTAACCTTTTCCTGCTAAAAGCGTTAGAATTAAACTCATTTTCAGAAGAGAATCAACATTAATGCCGAGTATTAGCATTATTTATTATTATTATTTATTCTTCTACATACCTATTTACTGCTTTTTTTATCAAATTTAATGATTTAGCAATCGGGACAGAATTGTCTTCAATTCACGGGAAAAGTTAAACATCTGATGAACTCATCCTTTTATGCTGGAAATAGTCAAAAATTATACGGCACTGGTTGCGATTTGAAAATTAATTTTGTTTGTGAACTTCGTTATGAATGCGTCTGATTTGATGAGTTTCATTGTCGCTGTGTGCCTATCAGCACCACTTAAAACCTGAATTGGAAAATTTTTTTTTTTTTGAAAAAATCACTCTATGCATGTCCTATAACCAGTATTATTTCGCAGAAAAATATTTTGTCACACAAGAAAAAATGTAATTGATTCTGTATGCAACTTGTACGTCACAAGTGAGAATCCGGTTGCATCAAATCCAAACTACAGGGGCTCGTTGCTTTTAATTTTTGGAACTAAAAATAATATCAGAGGAAATTTATGAAAGATGATGCAGTTTAATTCTAACGACTATCTGAAATTGCGCAATTAGGAAAACAAAACGGCGCGAAATTATTATGGATGTGACGGACACAGCACACGGCCATTTGCGTTAATTGGCTCTAATTATGTCGACACGGGGCTACTAATCTCATTAAAAAGTGCACGCTGATAAATGTGAGCGAGTCGTGTTGCGGTCGGCGATGAAATAAATTCGCTCTCGAGCATTTTGCATAATGGGGGCAGAAAAATAAAAGAGGAAAGGGGCCGGTAAGCAGAAGAGTAAGAACGGCGGCGCGCAACATTTTAATTGTGACGTCACCGCCGCGCGCGTCCTACGGGGAGCAATTAGCAGCGATGGCGCTCGGTAATGAACAATTTGTCCTTCCAGTTGGCAATTCCCTGGCACGCAGCGCAAGATACCCGTCCGTACAGCCGCGCGCATTCACCCGACCCCGACTGGCCTCTGCTTTTCCGCAAGCCAGGGGCGGAACCCGGACACAAATTGTCTAAATTTGGTTTATTTCGAAATGTGCAGAATTGATTATTTATGCAAAGCTTAAGTGAAATTGTTAAAATAAGATTTAAAAAAAAGCTGAAAACTTATTATTGTTGGGAAAAAAGCATTCCCAGGGCGAATAAAAAAAAAGGTTGACCAAGAAGAGCTATTTTCCTGTTGAGCAAAATTGTTTCTAGACCATCAATCTCATTTTCAAAAATACTTGTTTTTTGTACAAGTTGTCATAGTTCAAATAATACTCTATAGTATCCTTCTTTTCTATTCTACTCTATTATTAAAAGTTTTATTAATGACTACCTATCGCTATTTAAAAAAATTTAAATTTTCTTAAAAGATGAATTTATTACAATTCACTGCTTGACAACAAATATTACATACTTGATTGGTTTTAAATTTTTACTGGTTGAAGTGATTTACTTTTTTTATTTTCCATGTTGTTAAGGAAAAGAAATGAAACAATTAATTTTATTAAGTATTACAGTTCATTTCAAAAATAGTGAAACGAAGCAGTGAAATAATTTAGGCACTTATATTTGCGAATATAAAAATTTCATTAAAAAAAAAATAATTAATACAAATGACTAACGCCACTGGGATCGTATCAAGTTTTTGGTGAAGAGACAGAGGCTTGAGCGGGGGTTGGTTGCGGCTCGCGAAGGGGTTGGTCGGTTCTGTTTCAGTGTGCTGGCGGATGTGCGCTTCGCAGCCCCATAAACGCGGGCCGCTAGTGTCATGGCTCTAATTAAACGATATGAGTGGCTCATCAGCGCCGACATTCTGCAGTAATGAGTGCTGCTCTCTCTCTCTCTCTCTCTCTCTCTCTCTCTCTCTCTGCAGCCCTCCCTGAGCTGGCTCTCCCCCTCTCCACCCCCCATTCTTCAAATATGTCGTTTATAGCCCCCTTATTACACACCACGCCCATTCGCCCTCGGCGGGACAATTATTTTTATTTCTTATTTATTGTCCTCATCATGGTCGGCCCAAATTAAAAAGGAGAAGCGCCGTTCTTCCCTCTCGGCGGGCCTCCCTCCCTTTCTCTCTCTCTCGTCGCTAATTGTGCTCAATTTGTCACTGTTGCTTTTTGCCCGCGCGCCCTGCCTCTACTGTATGTAGATTAACTTCTTCTCTTCCTATTACGGCTTTTTATCCAACTTTCAACGCAAACGAGCTCTCTCTCTCTCGACGTGCCCAACAACTCGCTCTCTCTCCCCTTTCCTCCCTACACTAATGAATTAATTAAGGTTTTTTTATCCCTTTATAATCTGGATGTATCACGAGTCAGCCACACCGCTCTTCAAACCGTTGACCCTTTTCTAATTGGAGAGCGAGCTTTTTTTATTCATTAAAAGTTTGAACTCCCAACTTTTCAATCAGAGGGTCAATTAATAATAATAAAAAAGATTTTTTTAAAACTTCATAAAGCTTAGAATTCTACATTTTCATTTGCATATTGATGGTTACACGTTAAAATTTAATGTGCTATGAGTATAATACATGAGAACGATAATTTTATTTAAATTTAGATTAATGAAATTTTAAATTTAATTAATAACTTAAAAAAATCATAATTAATTTAATCACCTAAAGTCAACAAATTATTTCAATAAAATTCAATACCAACAAGTGTCTCACATTTTAATTTTAAAATAAATTCAATTAATTTGCAATTCCTTTTCAAAATCACAGCTAACCTGATAAAATAAATGCATAATAAACTATTTTAGTTAAAATTCATTCAGCAGTTTAAAGTTAAAATAAAACAAAGCTAGATATGAAACGCAACTTTTTGAAAGTTATAAAGGCTCCCAATAAATGCATTGCCACCGACTTCTTTAACATCAGAACAGAATAAGAGCGTTTCTTTGCATCTGTGAGCGTGCATTCTATTAACTTTTTCCATTAAAAATAATAATAATAATAATAATAATAATAATAACAGTTATTCAAGTCATACTTATGTTTATTGAATACATAAATAAAGCACCCTCAATCATAGCGTTGAAAAACACTTTTGACTGCGCTACCAATACCAGCATTTCATTTGTGATTTATTAATTAAATCCAACTCATCATCTAAACCAAAATTAGAAACAAATTTTTAATTTCAATTGCTTTTTAACCCTTCTGAGTGCGGCCAGTGTCATATATTAAGCGTCGCTTACACTCACTGACCAAACTGTCCCCTTGAGTTTAATCAATTCCACTGCGCTCAGCACTTGTAATTTCAAGAGTGAGCGAAGTCGCCGCTTGATTTGGGGCCCGAGATTTTTGGAGCGCTGGGCAATAAAAGTCAAGCGAGCGTAAAGCGGATGGCAGTGCGCGTTTAATTATTATTATTGTTGTTGTCTCCTCCGTTTAATTCGAATCAGCGCAGCCAGTCGAGTATAAAAGCGCCGCATTGCGCCGTAAAACTCAATCCCCAGACAAGAGTCGTCAGTTCACACTCCATTTGCTCCTCGGCCGTAAATATTGACGACGGCCGAGGAATTAGAAAAACAATCAGAGTAAAATGTTTGTGGGAGCAAAAGACGGGCATGGAGAAAAAAGAAAACGCCGTTTTGTGTTCGAGTGATTATTTAATATTTTATTAAGGTGCTCATTCGGATTATGGTACACATCATAGGAACACACACGTGTTTCCTCAGCATCTGGTGCGGCCCTAATGATCATGGCGTGTCTGTTAATTGCTAATACTCTTAATCGGCCAGCAAATAACGCGACCTGATCTATCCACAGTATAAGAGGAATTATATCTCTATTTCAAAGTGCAGAGTGTTTTCCCACTTCTTATATTTGAAGCTGCTAAAGGACAGTTTTTCTACTTAAAAAAATTTAATGTAATGAGTTTTGACTTGCAAATTTTATCAATTTTTTTATAATTGAAATAAAAAATTGCTTTGAAGGTCTTTTGATTTCTTTGAAGGTTCTGAAAAATTAGCAAAATTAATCGTTATTAAGAGTTTTTTTTTTTAAAAAAAAGTTGATGAGGTAGAAATTTTTAAATAGTTCCCTGTAAATAATTTGATTTTATGAATTTAATTATAGCGAACTCATCATCAGTCATCGATATAAATTATTTATCAATAATAATCATGACTCTGTTGAAACCCTTCAAGAAAATCCTTTCTTTCATTAATTGAGGAACATCTGAAGACAGAGAAAATTAATTTTCCAAAGGTTTTTTCCGGTGTTTTCAACACAAATTTTCAAAGGTATTGTTCATTAAATTTTTCTACTTTAGAAATAATTCATTCCTGATTTTCTCTGTCAAAATTTAGTCTTTGAAATATAGTTTGCAAGCCTTAATAATAGGATGAAAAATCTCTCTTAGTGAAAAAAAAATGTGCAAAGAACATTTTGTATGTATGACTAGAATGGACTTCTTGTGTTCTTGCATATTAATATATTTACACATTTCTCTTACTTATTCAAATAACATTGCCATTATGTACAACTTTTCCGACACTTTTCTATATTGAAATGAATTTTAAAATTTAAACCAAACAAAAATCAACACAGTCAGATCTAATCAGGGTCGAGCGCCGGACGTCACACAACGTAGGGTCTGTAAAGGGCCTCGGCCGACTCAGGGGGCAGCCCGAGTCTGGGATGGTGATGGTGGAGGGGCAGCCGTGCCGCCTCCATGGCCCCCCGGTGCTGCTGTGCCCCCAGCAGGGTGGCCAAACTTTGCGGGGGCGGCCCTTGGCCCGGCGAACTGCTGCTGCAGCTGCTCGAATTGTCGCCGCCGCTCATGAGGGACGCGGCCGCCGCCGACTCTTTGGCCATCGACGACTGGCTCGACCGACTCTCCTTGCCCCCCGAACCACCCCTTTTGTCCTCGTCCTTCGCCTTTGCCTCTTGCTGCGCCTTTTTGCTCCGTTTCCACTTCATCCGACGGTTTTGGAACCAAATCTTCACCTGCAACAAATTTGCATTTTTTTCCTGATTAAATTTGCCTTTTTATGATATTTGTTTGAAGAAGTTGACACTTGAGGAGATGATCATGGAAATGAAGAAAATCGGGTTTGTCCTCGTTGCAAAAATTGTTTTTATTCAAAAAACCGTTTTGTTTTTTGAATAAAACAATGTTTGCAGCGAGGACAAGCCCGATTTTCTTCATTTTTATGATAACATCATATTAAATATGAAACTTAGAAATATATAGATCATAATATACGCATCCAACAATATATATATATATATATATATATATATATATATATATATATATATATATATATATATATATATATATATATATATATATATATATATATATATATATATATATATATATAAAATGTAGAATTAACAAAAATGAATTTTATTTTGAGTATTTGAGTAAGCAAGTGGAGTGTTAATATATTAAATTCAAACGAAATAAATTAATTTTGATTATACTTGATTCGTTCTGAATCACGAATCACTCAGAAAATACGAAAACCTCTAATGCAAAACTTTGTCTTGAAATTTAAAACACACTGTATTGATTGTTATCATATTTCTTTTTAAACCATGTAAATATCCATAAAATTTAATCAACATATCAGGAATGTCAAGCGTTTGAGATTAAACAATAAAGTTTGTAGTCTTATTATAACTATCAGTGTATATTGTTTAAAAAGGAATTGTATTTATTTGATCAACGGTTCATAATTCCTTTTTCTAGATTATTGTTTAATTAAACTTTAATTTGATTCACTGTATAGTCAGAGGTTCTGATCCACCTTCACGTGTTCGCATAATATTATTTATCACGTGGGGTGGCTCGAGCAAATAGAACGCGCGCGAGCGACTGTTTGGCCAGCACAAACGCAAACAGATACACGGTGTCGGGACCAATTGGCGTGATGATTGATTTATAACCGCGCACAGATTGATTCATTTGCCGCTGATCATCCGTGTGCGCGCATTTATTGTTTCGCGCGTTTTAATCCGACGGGCGCACCTGCAGCCCCCGCAGCAAAGCAAACAGCGCGAGGAAAAAAGCGATGCATCACGCCGCTGACAATTTGCACCTGACTGCTGCTTTTTGCTGAGAGGATTGGAAATATTGCGCGACCCAAAGGAGGCTATTATTCAAGTTTGCCATCGAACGCAGCGATATTGGCCGCGATTATCGCTATAAATCACTCACCCCCGGCGCAATGCGAAGAGAGCTACATTTGGCCCCAAAAATCGAATTTCTTTTCTACAGGTAAAGTAAAAAACTTACCAAATACTTGACAAAATATGAAATCAATATTATTGAAATTTTTATTTTCAAGAATTAATTTATTTTATTAAAAGTCGTTCAAAGTAAGGAAAAAACATTTATTTCAAGACAATATTAAAATTTAGCAACATAGCTTAAAATCTGGCTTCATAATTTCTTTTTCATTATTTTCTTCCAAATTATATTTCAATAAAATTTAAAGAGGTTTTTACTTTCTTTTTTCAAGGAAGTTATGATTTTTCTTACCTGGGTTTCTGTCAGCATTAGACTTGTGGCGACTTCGAATCGTTTCGGCCTGGAGAGGTATTTGTTTTGGCGGAACTGCTTTTCCAGCTCTAGCAGTTGCTGGCTGGTGAACGCTGTCCTGGGTCTCCTGGTCTTTCCGAGCAACGCGTGTTGAGGCCCACCTGCAACAAAAAAGTTTGTTTTAGATTTTAGAAATGACTCACCGCAACACATACAAATTGGCCTAATTAGGGTGCTAATGAATTAATCCTGACACAAAAGAGAGGAAGGACACACTCGGCCCCCTAATTATATCTGTGAGAGACCAGATTGCTATATTAATCATTGGCGAGGGGACGACAAGGCTGCTCCGAATTCACTTACTTGCTAACAACCCTGGCAGCCAACGCCATAATTCTCATTAGTTTAGCAGCCGCGACTAATGCTGCTTTTGTTTTTATTTATTTACTTATTATTATTATTGAACTATTTTTTTTTAAATATATTTGTATCATCTGTATTTTACAAAAATTTAAATTAGTATATTTAAATTTTTATACAATTTTTTTTTAATTTACATTATAACATTTTTTTAATAAACAATATTTTACAGATTGTATATTTATGTTTTTAAACAAACATACATAGTTCAGACAAAAATAAACTTTTATGAGCCAAAAATGAATAATGATAATCATTAAATAATAATTCTCTCTGATAGTCCCGTCTAATCCAACGTGGTTGAATTGGTGTGAAAACTGAATCATTTTTAATTAAATTGAAAAGAAAAACAACATATAATATATGTAAAAATTTCCAGGGATCTTGAATTATCTGGCTTATCAAATTTGATAATTTTATTGATGGAAATTCCAAGTCTCGTTCTCTTTTTTAAAAACGTTCCCCCTTTATGGTTATTAAACTTTACTTTGCTTATAAACTAAAGATTAAATTATTTGAGCTTTGAACACCATAATTATTAATAAGCTGTTGAAAAAAGTTATCGAAGAAAACGGAAGAGAAGCTTTCTTTTTAGGCTAACATTATAATTTAATTTATTTATTATTGTTGTTTATTTGTCCAAATTGTTACATCACATTGTTTAAATAAAAATTGTTGGCAACATTTATTTTGAAAAAGGAATTGTTGGACAAAACGGCACCACCACTAGCAAAAATTTTGCTAAAACTTCCGAGGCCATATTCAGTTTTTTTATAAAAAGTGTCAAAAAAAGATTTTAGCAACTTAGCAAGTTTAGCAAGCTAATGAGATTTTCGAAGTTATATACAAACTTCAAAAAGTAAGAATAAGCAAAACTTAAAATGCTGCAAAAAAGAGTAAAGACCAGTCCTTAAAGTCTAAAAAAAGTCCAATGATCTAGTCTTTTGAGTATGAAAATATCCCAAAAAGATCTCACATATTTGTAATAAGGAAGACAAATTTTATAAAGTTCCCTTGACGCAAAAAAAATAGAGTAAAAAAAAATGATTTCAAGAATGCGATTTCTATGTGTTTCCAATTGAAAATCGTATGCAACCTGATTGTCGAGCGCGTCGTGCGGTTTGCATAGCCTCCCCTGCTTGTTCGAGCGTCAGAAGAAGGCATTTATTTTGGCACGCACTTTTCCTTGTGTAAATCCCGTTCTGCTTTTCCGAGATTAATATGAATGAGAGGCAAAAAGTCGTTTGCTCCCCGCAAGACGTTTCCAGAGTGTGAGTAAGTGCATATTTCTCACTTGCGTGTATATGTATTTATTCAAAAGGGCAAAAACGCCCCTTCCTCCAAGTTGAAAAGAAAAATGATCCATAGAGACTGCTGTAAAATCTCTCTCTCTCTCCTGCGAAAGTTGCTGCTGCTGTTTGGCAAACACCAAAAAACTTTCCTCCCGCTCGCTCGCTCGCCCCGACAAGTCGTAAATTTCCTTGTCTCTCTTGCCATTTTGAGATAAAACGCCGCTCCCTGTTAGTTACATAGCAATTGATTCCTCCAAAGATAATTTGTTTTCCGCCCTTGGAGGGAAATTCAATGGCCGCCCGTCCGAGAGACGATGGAGAAATGGATAAAGTTTGGTATGAAATTAGCGGCGCGATTCCACTCCCAAAAACACCACCATTATTTTCCGCAGCACGGTTCGCACAGAAGATGATGCAATTTGTATTCCCGCAGACTCTCGTCCGAGAGCCAATCAGCGCGAGAAAGGGAGCGAGAGATTTACTGCGTTCAGGGAGAATAAATAAGGGATGATAAAAGGCTGCCGAAAAGCGGGTCGCAGAGCGATTTCACCGACGCCCTCCCATGCTCACTTTGTATTAAAATTTCTATAAAAGTCGGAATATTTGATTTTATTTTTTTCTTCAAACAGTCAGTAATTTATATTTAAATCAAATTACTCGTTGCTTAAATAAATTTATTGTACTTTAATATAATTGAAATAAATAATCTTTGCTGGATAGAATTTGTAAATCACATTAGATGAAAAATTTAAACCAGGCTTTTGAAATAAGGATTTACTAAATTTTTATAAACATTTGGTATTTTAATTTCTCACAGTAAATAAATCATGGTGCTGTTGTTGTTTAACAATTAGAAAATAAAATTTTTGAAAAATATTCAACGATCTGAAAAATTGTATACAATACAAAAAAAAACCTAAAAGAAAAAACTTTGAAATTGTAATCCTCTTAAAAATGTTTATTTACTTTATCAAAATTAATAATCTTCCAGTTTGCCAAATAAAAACTTCTACGTTATTTTAACTTTTTAATTTGATTTCACTCTTTCTTTCCACCTGGCTAAGAAACAAAACACGCAAGTCGTTTATCGTCCATTTCCAGCGAGCGGCCAAGGGAGGTCTCGTCGTTTGAAAATGCAGTGAAGGAAATTTATTGCCGGCAACGGTTGCTGCCTGCGAGTGCATTTACTGCCAGATTATACACTGTTGAGTTCGCATTTGCAGCCGCTGACAAACGGCCAACTAAATAATTCGATCGAGTGCAATAAATAAAAAAGCGAGGGTGGGCGCAACATTTGACGGAACATCCCCTCGCCGCCACCAATTCAAATGCCACCCACCTCTCGTGGCGCAGATCCATTAAACGGCCGATTTATCGATGTTGCAGTCATTACAAATCAAGTTACAACGACGTTTAAGATTGCGAGGCCACAATTCACCCGGTGCAGCTCCACACAGAGCCTAATCAAATTTGCCAAACGGGCCTTCCATCCGTACCGATAGTGTTCATTTTGAAAATAGACTTTATCCACTTGAAATACATAAAAAGGTTCTGCACAGGTTTAACACTCCAGATTATGAAGTTTTTGTTTTGTTCTTATTCTCTCTCTTCAAAACGAAAAGAAAAAATTAAAAAATTATTGGGAACTTTTTCCCTATGATTTAAGTTTGAAATGGATTTGTTTCTCAATATACCACTGGACGACTGACGATCTAAAGTTGCAAATTATTTGTTAAATATTAATTGCAAAAAACTAGTGTTGCTTAAAAATAATTAAAAAAGAAAATGTTGCAATTTCTCATGAAATATGTTATTGTTTATATTGACGGTTTCAGAATTAGAAAGATGATTATACTATCTTCTTGTTGTCTCTTACTCTGATCTCAATTTTTGTTTAAAATTAAATATTTTAACAAAAATTAGGCTGTGCTTTCTGAAAAATCATGATAAAAAATGGACTTTTCTCCTTTCAAACCACATTAAAAAAACTGTGTTTCAGCAAATTGCGATTCAATCTTTTCAAATAAGTGTTTTCCATACCACAGTCGTCAAAGTTCAATTTAATCTTATTCAGTTTACTTTGTTAACAATGAATTGATTACATATTTTATGATGCTGGTCTTGTCTACAAAGCAATACAAAAACTATGAAATCAGACCAGAATTTTCTGTAGTTCAAGGATTTGAATCGTTTGGTTTTTTTTAAATGATTATTTCCTGCTTGGCAAATTCGATTCCTTACAAAACTGCGGTTGGCGACGCAGAGAGCGAGCGTCGGTTTTGTCTCCAAATTGCATGAATATGCTATTTTTCCACGTTTTCCCATGTTTGTTTTGGTTTGGAATGGCGTAGCGCGCGAGTGAGTCTTTTGGCTTGGCAAGAAATGCCGGCGGAATATCAAATTGAATTACCGGCAGTGCGCACACAATATTATGTATATCAGGTCACATAACTGCAGGCAAACACAAATCAGATTGCCCGTCTATGAGAAGGGCGGGCTGATCACCCGAGTGAGGCCTCTCTTTTAGCATTGCAAACGAGGATATTTTTGTTTTCCGTCCGCTCCGGTAGATACAGTACCGCGACCGCCGCCGCCATCACATGCAACGCTGCGAATTTATTTTCCTTTAATCAAGTTATTGCCCGCCGCCGTGTGCACCCAATTCTGTCGCCGTGTTTTTGCCTCCCAAGGGACCGCAATTTGCTCTCTCTCTCGCAAACTGCTCTGCTCCTCATCAACGGAAAAAGTAGTGCTTCTCTCTTCCGACACGCTCTTGATCAATACACCCATTATTTACTGTTGAAATGATTCCGTGAAACTTGACTAAAAATGCAATATTTGAGATTTTCTTAAGCAGAAAATTATAAACAACAATTTAAATTCATTCTTAAATTGTATTTTAATCAAAATTAGAAAAAATCAGTTTAAATCAGGTTAATCGAAAATAAAAATGATCAAATTCAAGTACAATTTTCTTCAAAACTATTCAGCCTTATCAGTGCTCAAGTGCTTCATTTTTCCATTTTAGAAATAAGTGCTTTTAATTTAGTGGATTTATTAAGTTACAATTAAGATTCATATTTATACAATAATTATTCAAATCTCATATAAAAAAAATCCTCAGACCGATCAATAAATGTTTTTCATAAGAAAATACTTTTCTCGAATCGTCAGATATTTGCTCCTCAAGTCAGACAAATTGCGGCAAACCGGGATGAGAGTGCACTTAAGGAGATTAAAAGTTGCAGGGAGCCGAGGCGTAGGGATTAGAATCGGTGCGCGGCCGAGATCGCGTAACAAAACGCCGGAATTATTCAAAAAGCGCGAGCATTACTTTCCGACTCGGCCGCAAAAAGTTTGCAAGCAAATTCAAAGTCAACAAAGTTGTAACAAGCCGAGCTGGGCTAATCTGACGGAAAGCCTTTTCTGACAATGAGAGACTTAATTTT